TTGAAAAATCTTTCTCTGGTGCTGTAGAGACCACACCCCCACAGGGGTCTAATGCTCCAGAGCTGAAAAGTTAGTTCCCCATAGGATCCAGGCATCGCATCAGGTTAGGTGTTCAGTGCCCTAAAGAACAGGTTGGGATGGGAAAGCCCCTTGCCAATGCCCCTTTCTTGTCACTGCTCTGACCCAAGATAAAAAGACAGGGAAGAGACGCTGACCAGCTCACACACCATCAGAACTATCCACCTTTGCTGTCCCCATTCTCCATCACTCAATTTAAGTAAGCCAATGAGTTTCTGCCTTGACACAGTGGCTGGCTGGCCTGTATCTCACATGGAAGAGTTAGATTTGACTCTGGGGCTCAGGTGCAGGGGGCAGGAGGGGTATGGGGGCGGCCTTCATGGAAGAAAACAAGGCCTTGGGCATTGAATAACAGCTGAGGCTAGCAAGCCTCATTGTCCAGCATTCCAAGTCGTCTAGCAACATGCTGGCCTCTGCCGTGGAGAGAGTACAGAGAATCCCCCAACAGAATAAATGGAATCTGATTTCAATTACGTTCAGTAAAGTCACCCTCTTCAGGCAGAGAGGCCAGAACACCTGGTGCGGCTAAGGCCACTATGGCCACAGGGAGAGCACATTACCCAGGTCTTAGAGGCAAGTGGAAATGCAGCTTCTCTTCCTTGAGCAGATGCCATATAGGTCTAGGGGAGGAGGATGTGAACATACCAGCCAAGTAAATTCTCATTGGCACTGTGCAGAGAAGGGGGAATTATTTCATCTTGATGGATTCTCCCCACAGTCTCTGCACGTATTGATCTTGCTTGTAATGAGTTTGCTTAGGTCCAGGAGTCATCACCCCACTGAGATCTGAGTCATTGGTGGGAAAATCAAGGTGACAGATTACATATCTCACTGATCATGCTCTGTATGTCTCTCCACCTTTTGAAAAAGCCCATGGATTTATCAGCATATAATTTATTTGCATTCATTTCTTATCAGTAGCTTTCATAAGGTGTTGCAAATGGGACAGCTGCCCTAGAGAGCAGTCTGTATTCACAGCGCTATTCAATAGAGCTGTCTAAGATGATGGGAATCTTCTATATCTGTGTTGTCCAATAATGCAGCCACTAGCTACATGTGGCTTTTGAACACTGGAAATATGACTAGTTCAGACTGATAGATTGCATTTTTTATTTTTTTTTAATTTTAATTAATTTAAATTCAAATAGTTACATGTGGCTAGTGGCTACTGTATTGGGCAGTACAAATCTAGAAGGAGCTCAGAGAGGCACTTACTGAGATAGAACAGGAATGAATTAGTCAAAAAAAGAGCCAAGGCCGGGTGTGGTGGCTCACGCCTGTAATCCTAGCTCTCTGGGAGGCTGAGGCGGGCGGATTGTTTGAGCTCAGGAGTTCGAAACCAGCCTGAGTAAGACCAAGACTCCATTTCTACTAAAAATAGAAAAGAAATTAGCCGGGCATGGTGGCACATGCCTGTAGTCCCAGCTACTTGGGAGGCTGAGGCAGGAGGATCGCTTGAGCCCAGGAGTTTGAGGTTGCTGTGAGCGAGGCTGACGCCACGGCACTCTAGCCCCGGCAACACAGTGAGACTCTGTCTCAAAAAAAAAAAAAAAAGAGAGCCAATGTGGCATAGTGAATTTTGGGTTAGGAATATGAGCCCTGGTTCTAATGTCAGTTCTACCACTAGGTAACCTTTCCTTCTCTGGCTTCTGCCTCCCCATCTTTGACTTGAAAGGTTGGACTGACGTTGAAAGTCCTGAAATGGTGGACAAGGACTGAATTCGATTTTGGGATACATGAGTTTCAGGAAGATTTTAAAACACTTGAAGCTTTGAGTAAGGTGTGGCAAAGGCAATACATGTAACCTAAACATTTGTACCCTCGTAATATACTGAAATAAAAAAATAAATAATGAAAAAAATTTATGAATGCCTTCTAGGGGTTTGTGCGGGGGGAGTGTGGCATTCATTCCAATTTGCCAGAGTACCAACTATTCTACACACACATGCACACACACGCCCTGCTGGATTACCTATGTAGACCCTGAAACTATTTGAATCTGTCACCCCTGGATAAGATGATTTCTAAGAACCATTCCTGTTTTGTCATGCTAGGAATCTCAAGCCACTATAGTGCCCCAAATCTGTTTCAGCTTGGGCAGATGACTGGAGTATTCTCTTAATTCCCTGTCTTTTCCCTTCTGGATTTGATGCTAGTTACTGAAGTTTGTAGTCAAGGGTGAAGAAGTGAGGCAGGCGAGACATAACTCCAGCCCCTCTCATCAACTCTGTTTTTAGATTAAAAGTAAGGTTCAAAGCTTCAGACTCCTTCGGGAGGCAGCATGATACAGCAGAGAGAATATGGGCTTTGTAGTCAGCAGACCAGGTTTAGATGATTGGGTTCTCTTTCTTGATAGCTGTGTTACCTCAGTTTACTCATTTGCAAAACAGTGATAAAAAAAAACATCTTTAACCTCCTAAGATCACTGTGGATTTAAATCACGTAATGTGTTCATGAAGTGAAGGCCTTGAAAAAATAGTAGTTGCCCTTATTTCTCTTAGTTAACTCTCCCATATGGCTAATTACACCCCTCTCCTCTCCCAAGCTGGAAAGGGGACTAAATGGTCTGACAACTCCTGAGTTCAAAGCCGGAAAGCGCCTGTGATGGGGAAGGCAGAGTCTTCCTGCAGGAACTGCAGCAGGGAGCAGATTCTGTAGGCACTGCCAGTCCTTAGAGCTGTGTCCAAGAACCCATGTTCACAGTGGGTTCACCAGATGACAAGATATTGTGGGGGGCAGGCCTCTAGCCCTGGGATAAGATGGGCTTGGCCCAGACCATACCTTCCAGCCTGTGCCCTTGGTGGGAAGTGGGAGTTGGCAGTGGGTGTGCATATCTCCTTGTTACTGGCTGTGCCCAAGTTCTGCAGAAATGATTGTTGGACAAGGTCATCTTGCACTGAGGGTTGGTTTTCCAGGCCTCCCTGTTATTTTCCCCTGAGTTCTTCTCTACATTCCTCTTGCACCACTGACCCAACCATTTTCCTCTTCCCTACCCTAGTTCCAAACATGTGATCCATTCTTGAAGCAATTTACTGAGTGACACTATGATTGGAGTTTGCATTGAACCACTTATTTTTCTAATTAGAGCTGAAAGTCAGTTCCAGATATGTGTCTTTCTCTGCAGAAGCCAGAAACAGATGAGTAGTAGGTTTTGTTGTATTTATCCATTTAAATTGAGCAATCAACTTCTCTGCTTTATACCTTTTGATTTATTATTATTATTTTAAAAAGATTAAAGTGGTTTATAGTCCTTACAGTGCAACTGTCTATGCTAGACCTCGGAGTTATGACCTTTTCAATTATTTCTGTCAATATAAATGCTAGGGAAAATAGCACAAAGTAAACATCAAGATGCCCAAAGACATCTAAATTGTGTATATGTGAGCATGTGGGGAGGATAGTTCTTAAAGTTTGAGTTTTGGATTATTGTGATTGTTTTAAATAATGTTATTTCTGTCATTCTTTTTAATGGCTGCCTCCTAGCATGGGTCCCAGTTTACCGACAGATAGTAGAGGCAGAGACATTCTGTCATTTGTTTGATACTGTTGGAGATTTCAACCTTTCACCTCCCCCACCTTTGCTAAAAAGAAGAAAATCAATATGTGTGTTACAGTGCATGTTCAACTGTGGGTATAATTCTAACAGCATCTGAAGCTGTTTATAGTGTTCAGTGGGAAATGGAACACCAGAAAATCCCCATTCATTGAGCCCAAAGTGGGATGATAGAATTTGGTAGTCTGAAGATGTAAAGGATAGATCTTCAGGGCTATTTTTTTAAAACCCAGTTCCCATATGATGCTTGAATTCTTAACCTTATGCATCTAGTTTCTGATCATTTCCAGTGACAGGAGTGCCTGGCAAGCTTTCTGTCTTCAGAGAGCTTTAACTATCAAAATGTGTGTGTGTGTGTGTGTGTGTATGTGTGTGTGTGTACATGCGGGCTCTTAGAGAAAGAGAGAGAACACTAAAATCCAAGTCACTGTACTTTCTGGTACTCCAAGGAACCCAAAGAAAAGTCTAGTCCTTCAGCAGGTCTGCCTTTCTGGTCTCTTTCCCTAGCTATCTGCTAACATGCTAGACATAGGCACATGTACATCTCTTCTTTGATTTATAGCACTAAGTCTTTGTCTATCACCTATATGATAAAGCCCAAACATCATAATATGATATGCATACCCCTTTAAAATCAGGCCCCATCTTTATTTTCAACCTCATAAATAGCCACTGTCCCCACACATGCAATATACACTTCAGCCACACTGGTCTTTAGTTATTGTTGCCCTAAACACTCGTTAATTATTTTGTTTATGCCCTTTCCACCTATCTCTGCCTAGTGAAGTCCTCATCGATCTTCAAATTCTAGGTCAAATGCCATCTTCTATGTAAAGCATGCTCTAACTGCATCTAAGCGGAGATTATTGTTTTCCCCTTTTGTTGATGTTTCTGTTGTAGCATTTACCAGTTTGACATTTTCTAGAATTGTTTGTGACCATTTATTTCTCCTCTACCAGACTTGGCCAGGGCCTGTGTCCTCTCTGTCACTCAGACGCAAAGGTCTAACAATGGATATCTGTTGAATGAATGATTGCATCATGAATGTATTAGTAAATGAGTTAATTGAAGGACCCAGGTATGAATACTGAAGGCAGAGTCAAATGCAAGAATATATTAGATTGGTCTGGCACAGAGATCAGGGGAGAAAGTAAGATATTAAAGTTTGAGTTTAGCAGGGATTTAGGATGATGAATCATTCATTCAACCGGTGTTGAATGAGCACTTGTCCTTAAGGAATTTAGAGTCTGTGACCAAGGAGAATGACCATCTTTATTTTCTTAGCTCAGGCAGTTTTTCTAACAGGGTAGTTGCGCTGTGTGTGTTTGGCCACTGGTGATGAATTCAAGTTTCTCTTCCTTCCCAATAGCCCGGAAGCTGAAGAAACTTGGTAATCTGAAGGTACAAGAAGAAGGGGAGGCTTCCAGTGCCACCAGCCCCACTGAGGAGTCAAGCCAGAAGCTGACGGTGTCACACGTTGAAGGCTATGAATGTCAGCCCATCTTTCTGAATGTCCTGGAAGCCATTGAGCCAGGCGTGGTGTGCGCTGGACATGACAACAACCAGCCTGACTCTTTCGCAGCCTTGCTCTCTAGCCTCAATGAGCTGGGCGAGAGACAGCTTGTTCATGTGGTCAAGTGGGCCAAGGCTTTGCCTGGTAAGGAAAAGGAAAGTGGGGGCATGGGATAAAGATCATATTTAGTGAATGTTCCTATGGGCCAGGCACCATGTCAGGTGCTTTCGGCCCATTAACTCAGGCAATCCTTACCATAACTCTGAGGAGGAGGGATCATTATAATCCTCACTTTAAGGGAATCGAGACTTAGAAAGTAAAGAGAAGGGTAGCGTTATGGAGTGTCCCATATGTTTTCATGTTCAACCAACAGACAAGGCGAGCAAAATTTCCCATAATCACAAACCACATAGTCATACCCACATATGCCTTAGGATGCTTTTCTACATGCTTTTCTACAGGCTCACCCCAAAGATAATCTTCAGCCTGCTTGACATTCTGTCTTCAGTGTCACTTTCAGGTGGTATGGTAGAAAGAATATGACATTGGGAGTCAGAACACCTGGATTCTAATCTTAGCTGTATTGGTAATCTATTGTGTGATCCCCTCCCCTTCTGGGTCTCAATTTCTCTATATGTGTAACTGTAAAGGGTAGTTTGGACTAAATTAATGGTTTTCAAATTTTGCTTCAAAGAATGCTTAGTTAGTGCTCTTTAAACTACCTTAGGAATCATTGTGAGAGGAAAGGTTACATGATAGTGAAAGAATTCCTAAGTGTTTGTCTACCTTCTGCTTGGATATCTCCATTGATGGGGAGCTCACTTCCTCCCTGAGCCATCTGTTGTTTAAACAGGTCTAGTTATTAAAATATTATAGCTTAAGGAAGACTTAGAGATCCTCTATCCAAGAATTCCTAAACTTTCCTTTAGCAGCCAGATGCTTTAGTTCTCAAAAGCATTCTGTACAGATACAAATGGAACTGGTTGATTTAAAGCCAGAATCTGTGGCCTTGGCCTCACCTTGTCAGCCTCTTCCTCACTATCCTAGGGAAGTCCCAGGTCACTTTTGCAAAATCACAGGGCTCCAGGGAACACAGTTTGAAAACCAGTGAAGCATATACTCTTTAAACGTTCTCATAATCCTAAAATTATGTGATTCAAAGATTCTTTTAAAATATCAACGACCAAACCTCTTCTTGTGGAGTCAAAGATTAACCTGTCTTCCAATAATAATTGCCATTCAAGTGGAAATTTATGTTGAACAGAGCAATTCTGAATGTATTACCTGATTTGATCCTCATAAGAATATGATAAAATAGGGGTTCTTTCCCCCATTTTACAGAGGAAGACACTGAATCTCCGAGAAGTGATGTGATTGGCCTACAGTTACATAGCCAAAGGGTAGCAGAACCAGAACTTGAGCCCGGGTCCTCTCCTGATTCCAAATCCCCTCCTAATTTCACTCTACCTGTAGTCTGTAGCACCTCTGCAGTTCTGTAGCCCTGGGCTTTACAGTGAGGGGCCAAGACCTCATCAAAGGCAGCTTGGCTCAATGAGCTTGCTGCATTTGAAGACATTGCATGTTGGCCATCAAGCCCCTATTTTGTTTGTTTGTTTGTGACAAGGTCTCTCTCTATTACCCAAGCTGGAGTGCAGTGGTCTCATCATAGCTCACTGTAACCCTAAACTCCTGGGCTCAAGCGATCCTCCTGCCTCAGCCTCCCGAGTAGGTGAGACTACAGGCATGCGCCACCATGCCCAGCTAATTTTTTTTTTTTATTTTTTGTAGAAACAAGATCTTTCCATGTTGCCCAGGCTGGTCTTGAACTAGGCTCAAGCAATCCTCCCACCTCAGCCTCCCAAAGTGATGGCATTACAGGCATGAGCCACTGTGCCCAGCCAAGCCTCTATTTTGTATTTCCGACTCACAAGGCTCAGCTGCAGCCCTAACCATCCCTGATGTCTTCCCCCCTTGGGAAACTGAGGTTGACTAGCCAATATGATCACTGGGAAGGAGGCCCAAGGACTCTGACCGGACATGCACTGTGCCAAAACAGAGGGTTCACGCAGAGAAGAAAAACAAAAAAGAAGAAAGAGAAAGTTGCTTTAATTCTTATCACTTTTTCAGCTGGATGTCTTGAAATCATGTGTTTGACAGAGATTCAAAGTTTAATCTTCCCAAGCAGTTTCCAAACACTTAACTTGTCTCATTTTATAGGATACAGAGCCTTTTCATATATATGATCCCACTTAATCTTCACAACAGTCCTATGAATCATAGGGACTATTATTTCCATTACACATGCCAAGGTTCAAAGAGGTTAACTAACTTGCTCCATTTGGTCACTTAACAAATGGAGCCAGAACTTGAGCTCATATCCTCTAGTTTCTAATTTAGTTGTCTTAACAATAACCTTGTACAAATCACCACGGCAGAATTTATATGACTGGGATCACTGGCATTTCTTGGCCCAACCCCCAGGATGGGAATCCTTCTCCTTACATTAACAAGTCTGCAAGCCAGTATCAGGTCACTGTTTAGCTCACCAGAGTAAATGACCCCTGACCCTGAGTCATTTAAAAGAAAAGGCTTCAAAAAAAAGCCAATTACCACATTCATAAGAACTGTTATTCATATTATCAGTAATCACCTACTAGTTCAGATAATTTACTCATTCAATAGATTGAATTTTTGACCTGTATGAGGCACTGTGCTAGGCACCTAGTTAGATGAATTTTGTTGTAAGTTTTCTATGACAGTCATGATATATGGAAATTGACTAGTAGGGTACCTGGCACATTAATAAATAATAACTATTAATTGGGGGTGAGTGAGTAGATTGTGAGTGTACGGGATATTTAGAATCAAATGTATCTGGTTTGGAATCCTAGCTATGCACTAGTCGTATGACCTTGAGCAAATCACATGTCTTCTTTGTGCTTCTGTTTCCTCATTTGCAGAGATGATAGAACAAATCGCTATCTTGCAAATTGTTACCAACAAAGAGATTATGTATTAAGAGCACCTTGTACAGTACTGAAATATAATAGGTGCTGTGTAAATGATGGCTTATCATTATGAGGCTCGAGTACTAAGCCACTGCTTTCACTAAGCCCAATTCAAGCTACCACCAGCTTTGCCTAGAAGCTCCTACGTGTTCCCCAAGATTGAATCGTCTTCTTTGAAACTTTGCCTGGCATATGCACGAGAGCAGCAAATACTTCCAAACTGGCCTTTCTTTGAGCCTATTCTCCCAGACTAGACATGGGACTACAAGTTTCCACTGAAGATTGCTAAAAAAAATAATGTTTTTAGATTCTGATGAGAAAACAGTTAGTCTCAAGGACACTGCCTCTGCTCCCTAACTTTTTGGTGTGTTTCAAAACTTGAGAATGACTCCTCTCTATTTCTCCCGAATAGTCTCAGACAGTGGCCGATGGGTGTTGAGTGAATGTATGCCAAGGAAACCTGTAGGGCTGAGGCTATCATTTCCTCAAGTCATTCCTTGATAGCCATGCAAGCTAGTTCAAAGGCTGGGCGTTAGAGAACAGAGTTAGGTATTGTAATCAGATTAGACCTATGGGAAAATTAGCTGGCCACATTGCTGATATGTACACAGTCACTAGTCTTGAGTGCTAAGCAGCTCTCACTAAGGAGTGTTATTAACATTACAGTCAAACTAAGCTTCCCCTTTTCTCTCCTCTGTGGTAGTTCCCTAGCACCTCAGGGAGAGAAAAAACAACAGTATGGACAGTTTCCTTGATACTTGTACAGCTCAATCCTCAGCCCTCCAATGTACCCTCACATTCACACACTACAACAGAAGATCAAGGCTCACCAGCCAAAGACTTTTCTTGCTCCCCACTGCCTCCCATTCCAGAGGTTCAGGCTTTAAGCTCCTGGGCCTTTTCCCCATGAACTCCTGGATGCTACATGCTTGGAGCCCAGACTGACTGGGTGGGCCAGTCTTTAGGCATTCCATGCTACAGAAAGGCTACAGAGAGGAAATACTCTGAGGTCTGAGGCTCTGGCCAGTCTGACAGTATGTCAGTACAGTGAAAGTGGGAGGTCCTGGCCTGGGAACTAAGATTTCAGCCAAGGGTGGTGCTATGAGGGACCCTGATGTCTGGGAGGCTTGTGACCTAAAAGAAAAGAAAAGGGAAATGGAGATGTGTGGGTGGGCAAGGATCAACCAAGCAGAACAATGTGTCTGGATAGTGTAGACTTCAGACCTGAGCCTATGGCTGAGGAAAGCTGGTGACCTTGGTAGTTCCTGAGCTGTGAACTCCAGCAGTGGAGGGAAAAAAGCACCAGAGAAGAGAATCAGAACACGTAAGTTCTAGTCCCAGTTTGGCCACATATGGACTATATGACCTTGGACAAGTCAGTTAACCTCTCTGGCCCTTAGGTTCCTTGTTGGTAAAATAAGTGTCACATCACCTACTCTCTTAGGGCTATTGTGAGGGGGTTAAATAAGGTCATCAACAGGAAAGTGAGAAGCTTGATCTAAATTTGGGGAAGCATTCTTTATGAGGTATAGCGAGACAAAATTTCAAATAATTCTGGATTTGTTGGGGAAAAGAAAAAGGGGGTGCTGGTAGGGATGAGCTCTGAGGTGATGCCTTCATAAGTGTAAGCATCCAACTGTTTGGAAACCTCCAGCAGAACGTGGCCATATCTATTCTACCTGTGTGTTATTGTGGGAGCCTCTGTTTTCTGAGCTTAAGGGAGGTGATTAGGAGATCACCTGATTCTCATTTTACAAAGCAGAAAAAGAAATTGAGGGTCCTTAGTCCATTTGTTTAATATTTTTCAAGTGCCCACTCAAATACCTAGACTGTGCTATGTACTAGGGAGGCAAAGATGAATAAGAAGATATGATCCCTATCTTCAAGATGCTCCAAGAGACAGATGTGTATGTACACAGCTAAATTCCAAATTCCTGTGTAATGAGTGTTGCAATTGTGTGGGGCTACACAAGGTGCAATGAGAAGGTGAAAGAAGAATCATTAAGCTTTCTGCTTGAATGAGTTGGAAAAGGCTTCACAGAGTGAAGACTTGAAAGATGAGCAGGTGTTTATTGGCTGGAAGGCCTGGGGATAGAGAATGCATTCTAGGCAAAAGCAACTGCCTGTGCAGAGATAGCAGAGCTATAGAGGCATGGGAAAGCATGACGTGTTCAGCAAAGTGTAAGTTTATCAGAATAGCTGGAACCTAAATTACGAGAAGGCAAGTGGCAAGAAATTAGTCTGGGGAAGCAGGCCATAAATTAGGGCCTTTTTTGCATAATAATGGCCGTAAGGTGAGGATGGCAGTGGAATAGGAAACTAGCATGGTCAGGGTACCTGTTGAGTAGAAAAGAATGGAGAGGAAGTGTGAGACAGAAAGTGGGACAGAGAAAGAGAGGAGAAGGGAGTGGCTGTCAAGGCATCCCCCCCATATGCTGTTATGTAGGAATATCCCTCTCCCAGGGTTGTTAGAAGGGTCAAATCATATTATAGCTTGAAATGAGCTTTGTAAAGTGAAAATTTCTGTTCATGTGGGAAGAATGATTATTACACTGTATCTTCAGAAAGGTGGAGCGTGGGCTTTAGAATCTGATTGCTTGGCTTTGGAAGTTGGTCTGCCAATTACTAGCCATATGATATTGGACATGATCTTAACCTCTCTGACTCACTTTTACTGGTTCACAGAATGCGGATAATAATAGTACCTACTTTATTCACTGTCGTGACATTAAATGAGGTAATATAAGTAAAGTGCTTAGAGAAGAGTTCACTCATTGTAAGCAGTCAGTAGGTGTTAGATTATTTTTCTCTTCTGACAATGCCCTTTTTGCCTCCATCATCGTCTCATTGAGCAGCTCGGTGAAATAGGAGGGGCAAGGAATATTATCCCCATGAGATAGTTTGTTCTTTTTCCCTCACCCTCAGTGGCCTACACTGATGGTCCCTGGGGCTCCTCAGGGGCTGCCTGAGTGCCAAAGAGTCTCAGCCCAGCAGAGGCCCAGACTTGGCTCAGCCTATCAGCACCCAGACTGACCACTGTCTCTGCCCCTTCTTCTCCAGGATTCCGCAACTTGCATGTGGACGATCAGATGGCAGTCATTCAGTACTCATGGATGGGGCTCATGGTGTTTGCCATGGGCTGGCGCTCCTTCACCAACGTCAACTCTAGGATGCTCTATTTTGCCCCCGATCTGGTTTTCAATGAGTAAGTGCTCCTGGGCCCAGACCTCACTTAAATACAGCAGCCTGGCCAACCCTGGTTGGTGGTGATGGTGATGGGGGTGACAATGACGGTTGGCTCAGTTGACCTGCAGGTGTGGCAGTGGAGGCCCCAGCCAGCCAGTTCAGTCTGAGGTGGCTTTACCCTCGGCTGGGAGGCCAGCTGGTGGGAGGCAAGGGGGTTGTTTCTGAGGCCATCCCTTTCCCACCCAAGACCTAATCCTTGTATATTGGTCATGCTTCTGATCTGCTTCGTAGCTTATCTCAGAACCTCATGTAAAGATCTCTCCCCTTCACTCAGGGCAACATATGGAAGGGGCAAAGAGACTCTGGTTGTGAGAGCTGAAGTTCCTTCAGTCCCTTCACTATCACCAAGGGCTACTATCAGTCACCATTTGTTGAGCAACTACTTTGTGCCAGGACTATGCTACTTTCTAAATCTTTTCTCCTTGAGTCCTCATGGTGACCTGATCTCCCCTTTTTCTAGATAATCCTGGGGTTTTTTTTATGGATGGGGAAAGTCAGCTCAGCAAAATAAAGCAACTCACCCAAAGTCACACAGCTAGTGCATGTTGAAGACAAGATTCAAATATATGTCTGTGTCACTCCCAGCTCTTCTCCTGCCTCATGGTGGTGACTGATGGAGAGGAGCGGCCCTAGCATTCTCTGGCTGTGTGACCTGAGCCCTGCCATTTCACTTCTCTTAAATAGATTTAATTAATACCTATACTCCACAAGCTCATTTTATCCTTTATGAATTTGGTCAACGGCTCAGATTTTAGAATTATATTTTCCTCTACTAAGATCTCTATTCTACTATTTTCTATATCGTTGTTTTTGGGCAAGACCCTTAATATTCCTGACCCTTGGTTTCCTCATCTGTCAGTAATAATAGAACCTTCATAAATGGTTTGTTATGATAGCTAATTGAAAACTAATAGATGTGGAATGTCTGGCCCAAGGAGGCAAGAAATTAAAAAAAAGAGAAATCCCTTTCTGATTTGCCCTTTCCCTAGTAGTGAAACTCTTCTGGGTTAGAGGGCTTCTCTGTGTCTGCTGCTTAAGGTCCCTCAATGGCACTGTGAGTGGAGCCAGCCAAAATCTTCCCAAGAACCTTAAGTGAGTGTCACCACAAAGAATACTTTCAGTCAGGGCAGGAATTGACCTTCTCTCCCCTCCAGCCCTCTAACCCAGAAGAGCCTTAAAATAAAATCCACTGGCCAGTGGTTCCTTCCAGTACAGCAGTGCCATGCAAGGGAGAGTGAGTGTCCCCAGCTGCCCTCTCCCAACTCAACCTGCCTGATAGCCAGAAGCTAAGAATAACCACTGGGATTTTGGCATGACCTGCTTTGTTATATCCAGACCTCCAAAGAGTTATTTATGATGCCATCTTCTGGGGCAGGCCTTGAAAAGCCCTCTAACTGTTCATCTCCCGTCCCCAAAACCCTACTGCCCTTGAGTGATTGATTCAACTCCATGAGCACCTGCCCCACCTTCCCCAGAGCCCCAAGACCTCTGGAGGTTTGCAAGATAATGATTGGTTATTTTCTAAATCCTTATTTCCTTCTCTACCTCTGAGTAACCATGTGACACCCCATCTCAGCTCCAATCCATCTCATCAAAAGGTGCCACAGCTAGCACTCTGAGAGGCCAAGACAGGTGGATCGCTCAAGGTCAGGAATTCGAGACCAGCCTGAGCAAGAGCGAGACCCCGTCTCTACTAAAAAAAAAAAAAAAAATAGAAAGAAATTATCTGGACAGCTAAAAATATATATATAGAAAAAATTAGCCAGGCATGGTGGCACATGCCTGAAGTCCCAGCTACTTGGGAGGCTGAGGCAGGAGGATCACTTTGAGCCCAGGAGTTTGAGGTTGCTGTGAGCTATGATGACGCCACGGCACTCACCCTAGCCAGGGCAAAAGAGTGAGACTCTGTCTCAAAAAAAAAAAAAAATGTGCCACAGGTCTCTTCACTGGGACAGAGGCCTAGACCCACCAAACCCCAGGGCTCCTGAAACAAGAGGCCCTCACTTCCTTTTATAGGAACCCACTATGTTAGAGCTCTCAGTGTCCCTACAAACATCTAGACCAGTGTTTGTCAAAATGGTTACTGTTGACATTTTGGTAGGAATAATTTTTCATTGTGCAAGACATTCCTGCATATTGGAATATGTTTAGTGTCCTTGGCACCTGCCCACTACACACTAAATAGGATTCCAGTCACTCTGATAGCCCAAACTTACCCCCACACATTTCTGACACCCATTGAGGAGGCCAGTTGAGAGCCACTAATTGCTGCTAGCCTCTTCAAGGTATTAATGGGGAGACTGAGACCCAAAGAGACAGATAGGGACTTGTCCAAGCTTGACCAACCCATTTTCTGATCTCTCTGATACCAAACCTTGTCATCAGCCCTGCTTTTTTCTTTCCTTCCCTCTTTTTGGAGAGCACATGTTGTGAAGATAATGGGCTTGAACCTTAGCTCTGTGTCATTGGGCAAATTACTGAGCTTTTCTGAGCCTCAAATCTCATCTGTATAATGGTGGATAGTATCATAATAGTGCCTTCCTACATGTCATTTATTGAGCACTTACTATGTGTCAGGCACTGTGCTCAGTGTTTTCCAACCTTCATTTCCCCTCTTTTCCACTCTCGTTTATTCCCACCTATCCCTGCTCTCTTCCTAAATTTCATTCCTGCCCCTCCACTTTCCTCTCCCTTTCCTTTAATTCTCTTCCTATTCTTTTTGCCCTTTCTCCCCACTTCTTGTTCCCATCCCCTCTGAATTCCTCCCCTTGCCTTTCTCCTTTCTCTACCCTCCATTCTCCACCTTCTCTGTCTCTGGGGCCTGCAGCAACGTTACAGGAATCCTCCATGCCAGGACCGTGATTTCAATGGTAAGAAGAGTATAGTGTTGTCATCAACAGAGATATGAAAGTACGATGGAGATCAGAGCACGGCCAGGCCACAGGGTTGGCAGATCTTACTCAAAAATTCTCTAGGGTAAAAGCTTGGAGCAACACTGTTCTGGTCAATTGACTTGTGATACCATCTAAACACTTCCTCTTTCCAGTTGGGCTTCAGCCTGAGTTGAATAATTCTACACCATCTGCCCCTTTTCCTCTTTCTCCAGGGCAGCCAAGATCTCTCTGAGATAGTGTGCTGAGCTTCCATCCAGACAACACCAGGCCTGCTCAGCCTGCAGACTAGGCTAGTGGCTTGGGAGGGGGCCAAAATGTCAAACCACAGCCTTTAGGCTCCATCTGAGAGGTCTTTGTCCTCACCACTTAAGTGGGTGTCAAATTCCCTTTCCTTTCTCCACATGCTACACAATCAATTTCTGTCTTACACATACAAACACATGCGCGCGCATCGCGCGCGCACGCGCGCACACACACACACACACACACACACACACACTTGATTTCTGAAGGACTGAAAACCAGAAGGCCTACTAGCAGAAGGATGCTGTGTCTTCTCTTAGAGACATGCCATGTCCAGTCACGGAATGAAGAGGTTGCTCCCCACTAAGAAGCTGTCCAAGCCTTGGCCACTTCCCCATATAATTTATAGGTGATAATGTGATGATCTGTTCACAAGTCATTATAATAAAAGCAGCTCACATATATTTAAAGCTCCTAAACTGTGGTAAGGAACAGCTAGCATGTGAAGGAATAGGCTCCCCCTCCAGGGGTGGAGAACCGGCATCCTGAAGACTACATGTGGCCTTCTAGGTCCTTACATGTGGCCTTTTGACTGAATCCAAATTTTACAGAACAAATAATTTTATTAAAAGGGATACAACAGAGAAACATGGACCTTTTCTTGCCTCCTTTGGTGTTTAAAAAAGAAGAGTCTTGAATTCAAAAGGCTGAAGGTTCCCCACCCCTGGCGGGCACATTTGAAAAGCATTAAAACTCATTTTGAAAGGACAATGTGGAATCTCCTTCGCTGGGAGTTTTTAAAGAAATGATTAGATTTTTAGTAGTCTAGGCCAGAGACAGGGGAGTTAGCAGGATGACCAAACACTTGGGTTACTTGTGAATCCTGGTGTCCTGATGTTAAGAGCTGATTTCTGGGGCCTCACTCCTAGAAATCCTCCATGTTGGGTGCCTGGGAGGCAGGTTCTGGCTCTGCCTGGAGCCGGGATATTAGAGCTGTAGTCAGGGAGACCATGTGCCTGCTCCATTGTGTTCATTTGGTTAGGCTTTCCTGTCCCTGCCTCAGGAAACAGAACGGGCACGAAGACCTGGAAATTCCATGCACTCACCCATATCCTGGCCAGGGAAGATGAGTAGTTATCAGGAAGTCAGGATTCTGGAAAAAAAAGAACAACCTTGTTCCTTGTCACTAAAGGAGAAACAGCAAGCTCTTCTTAGAGAACCTGGAGAGGGAGGGCAACCAGAGACATTCCTTCTGGGCTTGTTGTAAGCCTCCACTCATTCTTATTCTTCCTCTGTGTGTCTCCTTCCCAGGTACCGCATGCACAAGTCCCGGATGTACAGCCAGTGTGTCCGAATGAGGCACCTCTCTCAAGAGTTTGGATGGCTCCAGATCACACCCCAGGAATTCCTGTGCATGAAAGCACTACTGCTTTTCAGCATTAGTAAGTTTCTGGAGGCACAAGGAATGCCCTGGGGGGCACGGAGGCTCAGAAGGGACAAGTTTTGCCATTAAGGGATTATCAGGGAGAAGGCAGTTCCTGGACACTTCCCTTCTTCTTTCCCCCTGCCTGTCCCCCCTCCACTCTCCTTCAGCATCATGTTTCCTAAAAAGGACCAATTTCATGACTAGAGACCAATTTCTTTACTAGAATTAAGCCTCCATCAAATCCCCACCTACTCCCACTCTCTATTTGGGACAAGACCTCTTTGGCTGGTTGCAGCAGATCTCTGCATTTTTCCGCAGCTTCTGCTGTAGAAACAGCCATCGACCACCTTGTATTCCTTGCAGGGCAATAGAGCAGGAGGAGTTGTCTCCTGGAAGGAATTTCCTCTTCTGCCAACAAGAGGAGGTCTACGTAAGCAACTCAGGGTTCATTTAAGCAGCCAAGGAACTTTTCTTTAAAGTCTCTTCTAAGCAGAGTGCTGTCTTTGCGTCTGTGAGGGAGAAATGAGGCAAAATTTGATATTCAAAGCCATATGCTTTAATTTTCTAAATCAGAGCTGGACTATGAATGACATAAAACCTTAGCTTCTAAGAAATGGAGACATGAGAAGACTAGAAAAAAGAAACGTTCAGTAAATTTTATTTACTCGAGTCCCATCAGTTAAGGTCCAGCTATCCTTTTCCCTGAGATCTCCCTGGCAGACTGAAGGCCACAGGCACTCAGACATCAACTGACAGGAAGCCAAGTAGCTGGTTCCCGTGGGGGTGGGGGTCAAGTTTGTGGTCAGAAAATTCAGTGCTTTGTCTAATGCTCCTTCGTGGGCATGCTTCCCCTCCCCATTCTGTCTTCATCCCACATCAGTTCCAGTGGATGGGCTGAAAAATCAAAAATTCTTTGATGAACTTCGAATGAACTACATCAAGGAACTCGATCGTATCATTGCATGCAAAAGAAAAAATCCCACATCCTGCTCAAGGCGCTTCTACCAGCTCACCAAGCTCCTGGACTCTGTGCAGCCTGTAAGCAAACGAGGGAGGGTGCTTTATCAGGGAGAGCAACCTGATGAAGCCAAGTGATAATCTGCTCCTCTAGGGTCTGGCACCACCTGTTGGGAGGTGCTTCCATCCCCCTCTGGCTTTGAGTGTGATCCAGGAAGAAAATAGAGTAGAGAAGAAAGAACACGGGTCACAATGTCCCAGCTGGCTATTGGGAAAGGGGTGAAGGAGTTGAGAACAGAGCAGTAGGGACTCAGGGAAGGGGCTTAGAGCAGATGAGTTCTCTAGGCAGACAAAACAGACCTGGATGTTTTTCCCCTCTTTCCTGAGTCATGTGCATGTGAGTTTATCTGTGTGTGTGTGTGTGTGTGTGTGTGTGCGCGCGTGCGTGCGTGCGTGCGTGTGTGTGTGTGTGTGTGTGAGAGAGAGAGAGAGAGAGTGAGAGAGAGAGAGAGAGAGAGAGAGAGAGAGAGAGAGAGAGAGTGTGTGTATGTTCTGGGAAGAGGAACACCCTGTCCTGTGTCAAAGAGCTTGCGACGTATAAGAGAGCTATTGGGAGCCCTCAGTGACTCCCTGGAGACCATTTCTCAAACACACACACACACACACACACACACAGACACACACACACAGACACACACACACACACACACACACACACACACACCACCTTGTTGGTGAAGACTAAGGACAGGGAACGTTGGGGGGAGGAAACAAAAGGCTAAAAGGACCAGAAATCAGAGGTGGGGGCAGAGTCTGGCAGAAGCCAACTCCTTGTCAAACCTGTTTTTTCTCTCTTATTATCCCCTGCAGATTGCAAGAGAGCTGCATCAGTTCACTTTTGACCTGCTAATCAAGTCCCACATGGTGAGCGTGGACTTCCCGGAAATGATGGCAGAGATCATCTCTGTGCAAGTGCCCAAGATCCTTTCTGGGAAAGTCAAGCCCATCTATTTCCACACACAATGAAGCATTGGAATCCCCCATTTCTCCCCCCAACCCCACTCCCCTTTTCAGATGTCTTCTGCCTGTTATAACTCTGCACTACTCCTCTGCAGTGCCTTGGGGAATTTCCTCTATTGATGTACAGTCTGTCATGAACATGTTCCTGAGCTCTATTTGCTGGGATTTTTTTTTCTCTTTTCCCTTTTCCTCTTCCCTCCCTATCTGACCCTCCCATGGCACCTTCCAGTTCTGCTCCCTGTCGTGGCTACTATCTGTGTTTTGAATGGTGTTGTATTTCTTTAAATCTGTGATGATCCTCACATGGCCCAGTGTCAAGTTGTGCTTGTTTACAGCACTGTGCTGTGTGCCAGCCACACAAACGTTTACTTACCTTATGCCACGGGAAGTTTAGAGAGCTAAAAGTATCTGGGGAAAAAAGCAAAAACCAAAACAAACCAAAAAAAATAGCAAAAAAGCAAAAAAGCCTTGCTAGGGTTTTTTGCTTAAAAAACTAAACAAAAACAAACAAACAGAAATCCCCAAAGAGGCCAGTAGTGACTAAAACAAGGTGAAAATTGCAGGCCCATGGGGAGTCACTGCTTTTTTTCATCTCCTTCCTCCCTGGGAGACTTTATTTTCTGCCAATGGCAATTACCATCAGAGGGCAGGGCGATCCCAGGGCTGAGTTGGGGAGGAGAGACAGATAGTGGAGAGGAAAAGGAGGGCAGATCATCAGTACCTGCCTTGGCCCCTGGGGGCAAGACTGCTCAACTGCAGTGTAATTCATTGTACTGAAAATGTGCTTCTCGTTTGAAAACTTGTCTGCATGTGAACGCCTCCCACATCCCAAACCCTTTCCTCTCTCACCCTCTGCCTCCACTCTCAAGTGGACTTTCAATAGTTGTTCTAAGAGCTTTGAACTGAATGTTCTCTTTAGCCAAAACTTGGCCACTTCCACTGAAGAGTCAGACTAGTGAGAAGAAGGAGAGGAGAGGTCTGACCCGTTAGAACGCCCCATTTGGATCCAGGTCAGCTTTCTCATGTGTGAGCCAAGGAGGAGCTTGCAGCTGGAGTCAAAGGAGAAAGAAGTGATGGCTTGGCTGTTCTGCTGACGACACTAAATAGTTGATCCCTCACTGCCACCACATTTTCCCTACCTTAAAAAGACCTGAATGAAGTTTTCTGCCAGACTCCATGTGGCCACAAGCTCCTTCCACCCCCACTTCAGTGTTTTGGGGGCCTGAAACTCACCACACTGCATTTCAGCCATGGTGGTGAAGCTTGTTCACCTCTTTGAACATGCTCACGGACTCTCCACTAAGAGCTCCCGCCACCAAGAAGGCTAGCAGGCCAGCAGCCCTGACATCTATCTCCAGATGCCAGTAGTCTCAAAGACTTCTTACCAGATATCTCTCATCAACTATCAGATCTCTGGCACCCTCAGACAAACTGGGAAGAAGGCATCATTGGGATTGGACAAACTGGGCGTCTTGCCCTTGTCCCCCAGAGAAAATACCCTCCCACCAAGTGGAGAAATGCCCACTTCCTTCTTCAGGGCAGCTAAAGGAGCTACCCAGATCAGGGTTGAAGAGAAAACTCAATTAGTTCAAAAACTGCAATCAAGAAGGATGAAGGTGCTAGAACCCTGCAAGTGCTCTTCTTGGCACCTAACATATCCACCTGCAGAAGTCACGGGAAGAAGAGAGACTGAACCAGGAAAACTCTGACTACTAAATTAAAGCTTTCAGAGGCAAATCCTAAAGCCAGATGGGCACCATCTGGTGAGTTTACTCATCATCCTCTTCTGCTGCTGATTCTGGGCTCTGACATTGGCCATACTCACTCAGATTCCCCACCGTTGTTGCTGCCTCTCAGTCAGAGGGAGGCTGAGCCATTGAGACTTTCAGCAGAACCATGGCTTCCTTTGGAAAGGTCTACTTAGTGTGGCTCTGATATGCTGCCACCCATGAACTCAGGGTGTACTCCTAGGACACTGGTTTCGTATAGTCCTTTGGCACACCTGTATTCTGTTGACTTTGTTCGCCAACCCTGAGCGCAGGGGGAATATCCACCTACTTTCTCATCTTGGCCATTGCCTCCTCACTTAGCAGTTAACCTCATCTGTTGAACTCAAGAAATCAGGGCCCAGTCACCAACCTGCCCATTTTAGTTGGTTCACTCTGCTTCTTGAGAAGATAGTTTCTGAGTGACATATTATGATCTACATGGGTTTCCTCCCCTGATTTCTGTGTTGATATTAATAGCCAAATGAACTTGCAAAACAACTTCTTTAAATAACAAGGAAGAAGGGGAACCTAAGACAGATGATACGTCAATCTAAGACTGCTGGACAAAACTACAGCTGATAGGTTCCCTTTCTGGGGTAGAATAGACAATTTCTGGTTTTCTTTGTTACACCACCATCTGGCTTATGTATAGGATTACTTTTAGCTGTTTTAAACAGAAAAAAATATTCACCACTCTTCAGTTAAACTAGGTTACATTTTAATAGGTCCTTTGCATCTGTTTTGAAACAATTTTCATCTTTTGTGGAACATGGACTGGATTATATCATTCTAATACCTCTCCTTGTAAATACTAGAGGCTCTCCTTTCCATTTTTCTATCAAATTTTTCATCTTTATGGATTTCCCAATTGTGACTCTTGTCTTTATGAATATATATGTTTTTCACTTGCAAAAGCCCCAAATCAGTGAAACAGCGTGTAATTAAAAGCAACAACAACTGGATTACTCCAGATTTCCAAATGGCAAGACCAGGGGAGCAATGGCCTAAACAAGGCTTTAGATCTGCTGTTTCTGTGCTGGGGTTTGAGAGAGCAAAGGAGATTTAAGCTTGGCTCTGTTCTCTCATACATCGAAATGGGGAGGATTTCTTTTCTTTTGGCCATTGATGTTCCAGACAGAAGTCTCATTTTGCATGCACTCTGCTCTACAAACAGAGTTGGTGTGGTTGGTACACTGTGCTCACCCATGAAGGACTGGCCACCCAGACCCACTCACCTGGTGAGCTAGAAGATGAGGATCGCTCACCAGACAAGTCATGGGGACCACCTCCAAAGAAGTTGACACTGCTTGATGGGGATGGAGAGTGAGGAAGAGAAAAAGAAGGAGCACCAGGGAGAAACCCCCATCTGTTCTGGGCAGCAGAGAGCTGCCAGGGTCACGAACTTTGTGGTCAAAGAAAAGAGTCGTGTGGCAGTTTCGGCTCTCATTCACTGGGCAGCTCACCTGGGCCTGGCCTCTGAGCTGACATGGGGATTGGATCCTTTGTTCCATAGTTTTTCTATGCCACAGGCAATACTGTTGTTCTTGGAAAGTTCATTATTTTTTTAAATTACCTTAGTCTGAGAAAGGGATATTTTGAAGGATTCCGTCATATACCTTTGAAAAAAGAAAATCAGTAATACGTATATTTTTGTGTATGTTTGCTGGCACTAAAAACAACAAAAAAAGGGACTTCACTCTGTCCCCTGGGTAGTTGCTGAAGTAACTGTCCAGGTTGAGAAATAATGTGCTGATGCTAGAGTCCCTCTCTGTCCATACTGTACTTCTAAATACACAGAGGCATATATCACAAGTTGCATTCTACTTGTACTTTAAAAGAAGATATGTCCACCATCCACATGATACTGACACAGTGAACTAACTTTGAGCTTCGAGTAGCTTCTAAGTGTTTGTTTCATTAGGCACAGAACAGACATGGCCTTGCCCCCTTCTCCCCCTTGATAGCCAGCAGGGCACAAAGTTCCAAGCCACTCTCTCTGCCCGTTCCCAGCCCTGCACCAGTGCTGTACTTGAGAAGACTCTCTCAAGACAGCCCAGTAACTATCCCTGCATGGTTCCTGCATAGCCCTGGAAAAACTAGAGGCTGACTACTAATTATCCTGTGCCACTTGCCCAGGTGAGAGGGCACTGGGCCAAGGGAGTGGTTTTTGTGCTTCACCTACCATATGGGGTCATGGGAATCAGGAATGCTAAAGCACCAGATCAAACCCCAAACTTAAAGTCAAAATAAGCCATTTAACATGTGCAATTTCTTGGAAAAGGAAGTTTCTACCCCAATGCCTTTATAGGCAGATTTATTCTTACCATTAATCTCTTTGAAAATGTTTGAAAGCAGTTTTTACAAAAAAGACAAAAAAAAAGAGATGAAAGCATCATATTATGTAACCAAAGATTACATTGTATCTGCTAAGATGCCAAAATTTTTAAGGGCAGGGAGGGAGCAAACATTAGTGCCTATTTGGTGAGCTATCCAAAGATAGACTAAAGGACTTTGCTGGTGACTGACTTGTAAGAGTTTTGTGGGGCTTTCCCCCCTCACAATATATTAATACGTGCTTAGAAGAGTTGAAGATAATTTGGGAAAAATGGGATTATGGGTCCTTCACTAAGTAATTTTATAAACAGAACTTGCTTTCCTTTTCTCTAGTAGTTGCTGAGCAAATTCTTGAAGCTCCATCATTGCATGATTGGAAATGGAGCTGGTGTTGGCCACTGTGTTTGCTAGTGCCCATGTTAGTTTATCTGAAGATGTGAAGCCCTTACTGATAAAAGGAGCATTTAAAGGACTAGATTTTGCACTAGAAGGACAGCAGGCAGAAATTCTCATTTCTGCCCACTTTGGACGGCACAAAAAGTTCTCTGTGGTTTAAGGCAGAAGGTTGAAATATATTGTAAATGAGTATTTGTATCCATGTTTCAAAATTGAATTATATATATAGATATAATGTGTTCTAGTAGCTTTACCTTTCTCTGCACCTTTATATTTGGTTCCAGGTCATACCAGATGCCATGTACTTGTGAGAGAGGCTGAAGTTACATTTTGGAAGCTCTCTCAGAATGGACAAGACACCTGGATCAATCAGATAACTAAAAGATGGCTCCCGTATTGGGCCTGACTCACAGGCCTTGCAAAGGAGCACAGGAGGGTAAAGGGTAGGGAACATGATACATTGCACTTTACTAGTCCAAGACAGATGAATGTGGAAAGGTTGATGAAGACTAATTGGAACTAACTGGGGTTTACCATAGGGAAGGTCCAGCTCAGCCTTGGGGCCACAAGCCCATCCAAATGATTGGCCAGTGGCCCCCTAATGGGACCTGAGCCATTGAGAGAAGGAGGACTGTTCTTTGGTCTTCACCATCCTT